CGATGGTCGGCATGCAACTGGGGATCAGGCCCTCGACAAAACACGCGCAAACCTTAGTTGCGAGTCGTTGGTTGACATGCAATTGAGGGCACCGACACTAGTTGCGAGTTGATGGTCAACATGCAACTAGGGGCACCGACAAACACACACACCTCCTAGTTGTGAGTCGATGGTCAGCTTACAACTGGGGGCCCTGAGAAAACACACACCCCTAGTTGCGAGTCGATGGTCGGTTTGGACTGGGGACCCCGACAAACAGACACAAATGAACTAGGGGGCGTACAAAAACAAACTAGGAGGTGTGTTCAGAGGTACTTAAGACCGCCTCCATTGTACACTTCTCATCCTGCTCGGAAGGAGTGGACATCTAAAACTCTTATAGACTAAAAAACTTATAAAATAAGTTGAATCTGGAGTTGACTATACTGAAAGTTCAGGTTGCTATGATATAACTGAAACAGAGTTCATTTCAAAAAAGGTTCAGCACCAGATGAGTTTATCCACCTAGTTACCATCTGTTTCACTTACCTTATCACATACATTTTCTCTAGTGCTCATAGATCAGAAAAATACTCTTGTTAGATTTTGAAATCACATATCTTCAAACAAGAAAAGATTTTAACAGAAAATCTGCAAAAATCTGAAAAACAAAAGCTATACATTCGGGCCTGCTACTACTATACTTTCAATTTCTAGAGTTGTGCCATATGCCACAACTTTTAAGAAATCAAAAAGACCTCGCTTAGTCTGAGAAGTTTGAAGTATTCAGAAGAAGACTACACATGCTCCCTACAAACAGACACACACAAAAATTCAGACATTCCTGTCTGAAAAAAGAAGGATTGCAATGTATGCCACTGAAAATGTTTATCCACTCGCATTATGCCTCTTAAATTTCAGACAAAAATGGCAGGCAACTCTGTCTGCTGTCTATATGTAGTATGTGCTACAAACTCAAGATTATAAAATGGGGTGCTAGCTGCTACATTCAGATTACAAAACTGGGGTGTTCGCTGCTACATTCAGATTCACACACACAAAAAAACTGGAAGTCCCTAGATGTACAGACTCAAGTTACAAAACTGGGGGTGCTCGCTGCTACAATCAGATTCACACAGAAAAACAAATCTACAGCCATGGGCATGAACATAACCGGGGTGGATTGCTAGTTACTATTCATCAGCTGCATATATAGGCATATATTCAGGCATTCCACACTTAAAAACATTTCATTTTCTCTCTAAAAATATGTGTGATGCAAACGAATCTAATATATCACGTAAAAACAGCAAGCACCTCATGTATGCCACTCATATAAACACTCCCCCCCTCCCCCCCAGGTTCTTGATGTTCATCCCTCAAAACAAACAAACATCCCTAAATGGCATGGGAAAACAGGAAAAAAAAGGCGAGGAAAAGAAAGAGGGGATGAACACTCACTCCGCTGGATTCCCCTGCCATCTCTGTCGCCACAAGCCCACCAGATCAGGTCGTCTCTCCCTTGGATTCGAGTCAGAAGGAATACAGTGGTGGCAGAACAAGGGATGAGGAGGGGAAAAGAGGCGAGGAGAGTGAGGACGGGACTCCAGATCAGGTTAGACTGTTCAGATTCTAAAGCAAGCCCAATAAACAAACAAAAATCGTAGGCCGGCCCAAACAAAAAATCGGAGGCCGCTACGCTGTATCCCACTCGGCCCGATAGACGAGACAATGCGACGATGCGAGCGCATCACCTCGTGCGCGAATAATAAAGCAGAGACAGATCGGACGGTACAAACACTTAGATGTGACATCCTTAAATATCATCTAGATGTGAATTAGTCATTCTGTTCAAGATAATACCACCATTTTAATGAGACGGCAATCAGCTAGCTGATCCGAGCCGGGTCATACGATATTGCATAAGGTCCAAAACAGCACTCCATGGAAGGATGGAAGAATCATCACAAACAGGTCTGACCTTACGCCTCCCTCCCACGGTCATACCTATGCTGTCCGCATGCACCACGCGAGAAGATAAACAAATGGCATCATCAAGTTCCCCGCCCAAGGAGCCAATGCCAGGAAAGCAACGTCTTTTTCTAGACAGCGCCGAGCTCTGCTACTGCTACATATCTCATCGATCACTAGTGCGCAAGCTCTTGGATTATCCATGGTCATAAGCATCTTCTAGCTCGGTCGCGCGGCACGAGAGGATGTTCCGAGCAGTGAAGCATGCCGTCGTCTTGGCGAAGAAGAGCCGAGCTGAGCCCGCGGCCTTGTCTGCCTTCGCCAGCCACTTCTCCGCGGCTTCCACCTCGCAGAGGTACTAGTCAACTGGTCATCTTAGCTTATGTTCGGATCATGGAAGGTCTCACTGGAGTCTGTGCGTTTGATTTGATTTGTAGGTTGGCCGGGAAGGTGGCCGTGATCACCGGCGGCGCCAGCGGCCTCGGCAAGGCGACTGCCGCGGAGTTCGTCCGGAACGGCGCCAAGGTCATCCTCGCCGACGTCCAGGACGACCTCGGCCACGCCGCCGCCGCCGAGTTCGGCCATGACTCCGCATGCTACACGCGCTGCGACGTGACGGACGAGGCGCAGGTCGCCGCGGCCGTGGACCTAGCCGTGGCGCGGCACGGCCGCCTCGACGTCATGTTCAACAACGCCGGCATCAGCGGCGCCCTCACGCCCGTGCCCCTCGGCTCCCTGGACCTCGCCGACTTCGACCGCGTCATGGCGGTCAATGCGCGGGCCGTGCTCGCGGGCGTCAAGCACGCCGCGCGCGTCATGGTCCCCAACCGCCGCGGGAGCATCATCTGCACGGCCAGCACGGCGGCGGTGCTGGGAGGCGTGGCGTTCCCGGCGTACAGCGTGTCGAAGGCGGCCGTGGTGGGGCTCGTGCGCGCCGTGGCCGGGGAGATGGCGCGCGCCGGGGTGCGCGTGAACGCCATCTCGCCTAACTACATCCCGACGCCGATGGTCATGGGGTACATGGCCGAGTCCTACCCCGGGGCGAGCGCCGAGGAGCGCAGGCGGATCGTGGAGCGGGACATGAACGAGATGGGCGGGCCGGCGCTCGCGGTGGAGGACGTGGCCCGTGCGGCGGTGTACCTGGCGTCCGACGAGGCCGGGTACGTGAACGGGCATAACCTCGTCGTTGACGGCGGGTTCACCGTCGGCAAGACGCCGAAAATGCCGGCGCCGTGACGTTGACAGGTCTTATCATTAGATAAACTTTACTTCGTGAAGTTAAACTTCGTGAAATTTGATCAACTTTCTGAAAAAAAATGTCAACGTTCACAATAGAAAATCAATATCATTAGATACATCATGAAATCACTTTTCATACCATGAAACTTTACTTGTAATAGTTCCCTAAAATTCTAACGTTCACCACATATTATAGTCCAAGAGGGGATAAATTTTATACTGTTGGTCTTGCAGCCACTTGCTGGGCAATCTGGCTTGCTCGCAATAAGGTTACCTTTGAGAAAAAGCAAATTAAGTCTCCTTTTAAAATTGTGTTCTCTATATACTCTTTTCTATTGTATTGGACAGGACTGCAGAAGGGTGATGACGCTGACAAGCTTCGCTCAGGTGTCGAGATGATCAGGGCCAGCACGATGCAGCTGATGGACTTTGCGGGACTACTGCCCAGTCGATTGGAGGAGCGTGAAGATCGTGATGGATGTACACTGCTTTGAGGGCGGACGAAGTGGAGTGTTCTGCTGGGAGGGCCATCTTCCTCATAGTAGCTTTCCTCTTTTGATTGATGATATATTTTGGTGTGTTGGCATGTATCTCTCTCTGGATGTCGTGGAACATAGTACTCAGATAGATGTAGGTGTTATCAGGTTTTCGCCCCACAGCGTTCGGGTCGACGGCGACCGAATGGCAGTAGGTTTCCTGGTAATGCTTGAACCCGCCTTACCTCTTTCCCTCTCTCTCCGACTCTATCAGTTTTCTTCGACCAATTTCAGCTTTAGAAAGGTCATTCCTCTACAGAAACATTGGCCCACTCCTTTCAAGTTTCAAGTATACATATACACAAAACTTAAGTCTACGAGAGAACAAGTATATTTTGAAGAACACAACACAACGACTTTGCTAACTCATGTATCATGTATTGTATAACGCACCACCTGGATGGGTGCTGGCGTGCATCCATGCTCGAGGATCAACACATACACCAGGGAAGTGACATTTCCATCACCCTATTTTATCAAGGAAACTGGAATCCGCCGCTTCGTGCACCACCGGTGGAGTTCGCCTCTGGTGGACTGAGGGCCACCCACAGGAGGGAGATGGTGATGGATATGAGGCCTGACCAGACAAAGATGATGGTGGGTGTCTTGCCGCGGCGGCCCATGAGACCCTTGGCGAATGGGTTGAGATGAGCGAGCACCCAAAAACTGAAGAAACCGCCGCCGATGAACTTGCCCCACCGTGGGTTTTCGCTGTAGATGGTGCGGGCGAAGGCGAAGGCGATGGCGATGATGTTGAGCATGCCGATGGTGATGGGCGGGATGAGCAGCGATGACCACTTGACGACGTAGAGATCCGCGTAGATATCCTCGTTGTCGTCGGCCGCCGCCTTGGCGGTCAGTGTGAAGGAGATCTCAATCCCGGCCATCACCTTGAGCAACCCCTGTACCACCGCATATAGGTGCGCGCTTATGCCTGTCATCACATTAATTGTGCAAAGAGACATGTGGTGGTCAGGTTAGTATCGGGACCCTAGCTAGGTTGTCCGTATCAAGATTCATGATGCGCGTGCCTGAGATGAGCCAGAATTGCTCATTGCGCCACCAGTCCTCGAGTTCGATGCCTGACCACTTGACCTCGAGGATGCCGAGCGCGATGAGGGTGATCGTGATGGTGAGGAGGTAGAAGAGGAAGGCGACGTTGAGCGTCTGCACGATGAAGAACCCGGAGAAGAGGGAAAGCGCCGGGATGAAGCAGTAGGTGAGCAGGAAGATGGAGGTGAACGGGTAGATTCCGACGTTGAGGTACGCGACCCGCTGCAGGAACATGAGCTTCCGCGACGCCAGGAACGCGTTGTTCCGGGAGAAGAAGATCTCCACGGACCCTGTCGCCCAACGCAACACCTGATGGATGGTTCGATGGTCATTCACCGGTAACACATGTGTAAATGATCAACCCTTTTTGTTTCTATGATATATACGTCAACTTTCTTATTAATGATTCGAACAAAAAGGAGCGAACCTGGTGCAGCCGGTCGGTCATGTTGATGGGGGCTGTGCCGAGGAAGGCATCCCGTTTGCTGATCCAGTAGACGGAGCGCCAGCCGCGGTTGTGCATGCGGTAGCCGGTGACCACGTCCTCTGTGACGGAGCCGTAGATCCATCCCACGCGGTCTCCCCACTCGGTCTTGTCCTCGTACCAGCAGGAGATGACGGAGACGGCCTCGGCAACGGTAGGCGGGTCCAGCGGCGGTCGCGGCACGGTGAGCGTGCCCGGCGGCCTTCCATGCAGCACGGCGGGGTGGTCGGCGATTGGACGTGCCTGGAACTCGGCGATGGGGATGGACGCCAGCATCGCCGACGAGTTGCCGAACCGCCTGGGCACGAGCTGCGCGGTGAGCTCGGCGTCGAAGTCCTCCGCCTTGAGCTGCTGGGTGTCCGAGTCGGGGTCCTTGAAGTTGGTCACCTTCTTCTTCTTGAAGAGCCAGCCCGTGTACTCGGCGGTCCGCGGCGGGTCGAAGCCGTAGAGAGCGAAGCGGCGGAACATGCAGCCGGTGCCGACGTACATGGGGCCCTGGAGGCCGTCGAGCGCGCGCATGTTGCCGTCGAAGAAGACGGTGTTGTGGTTGGCGTAGCGGTCGGAGGGGTCGATGCCCTCGAACCTCTGCGGGAACTGGATGAAGCAGATGCGCTCGCCGCCGCGGTCCATCATGAAGCACATGGCCTCGCGGACGGCCTGATTGTTGTTGATGTAGTGGTCGCAGTCGAAGTTGAGGATGAAGGGCGCGTTGGACATGACGGCGGAGCATCGCACCAGGGCGTTCATGGCGCCTGCCTTCTTGTTGTGGTCGTAGCCCGGCCGCTTCTCCCGCGACATGTACACCAGCATCGGCAGCCGGGTGTCCACGTCGCTGTAGTCGATCAGCTGGTCCTCGTCGTGCATGCCGTACAGCGGGTCCGGCGACGGCGGCCTCAGCATCACCTGCCATGTCATGCATGTCGATGTTTGTTTGATGCATGCGTGAGAACAACTAGCTAGGCAAAGTTCCGGCGTGATGATTGAGTGAGTACCTGTAGGATGCCGGCGTGGTTGCCCTTGGCATGGTCAGGCGAGGAGACGGCCCATGTGCCCGGCCAATGCGTGCCGTCGGCCATCCAGGTGGCCTTTTTGACCTTGGGCTGCTCCGACGGGTCGGCGCCGGTCTCGCGGAGGTGCTTGAGCATCTTCATGTCCTCGCGGGCGTTGAAGGCGTCGGAGCGGCGGCGGATGGAGTCCGGGAGGCCGTTGATCCGCACCTTGAACTCATCGTATTCCCGCTTCACCTTGCGGCGGTCCTTGACGAAGTCGGAGCGCCGCTTGCCCTTGGTGGGGTCTCCCTTGAGGGCGAAGTAGCTGTCCGGGTTGCGGGGCTCGATGTCGTGCTTCTTGCAGAACGGCACCCATATGTTGGCGAAGCTGGCGGCCTCCGCCATGGCCTCGAAGGTGAGCAGCGCGCCGCCGTCGTCGGACACGTAGCATGCCAGCTTCTCCACGGGGTAGTCCACGGCGAGGATGGAGAGGATGGTGTTAGCGGTGGTGAGCACGGGCTCCTTCTCCGGGTCGGCAGTGGAGACGAAGATGTCGAGGCCCGGCAGGTCGGACCTGCCGTGCGGGTTGGACGGCGAGGGCGTCTCGAACTTCTCCTTGAGCACGGCGAGGTCGGTGCTGCGGTTGATGGGGTTCACCTTGGGGAGCATGTCGAGGAGCCAGGAGAAGGCGAACCAGAGCTCGCAGACGATGGACATGCCCCACAGCCAGAGCGCCTCCATGTTGGGGTTGCGGATACGCCACGTGAGGTAGAAGATGAGCACGAAGAACCGGATGACGATGAAGATCCGGTACGGGCTGATGATGGACGTCGGCATCGGTATCTTGCGCGTCAGCGGCTTGAACGGCTTCTGGTTCATGTCTTGCATGCCACCGTCGCCGCCTACGCCGTCCTCGTCTAGGTCATCCTCGTACATGCCGCCCTTGGGCATGAACGCGTTGCCATAGCCGTAGGTGCCGGAGCTCTCGAAGAGCCACCGGTTGTGGTCGAACTCCCCGTTCTGGTTCCGGGCGAGCAGGGACTTCCCCGACGACACGTCATGCGGGTCGTCGTCGGCGTAGTCGCCGATCTTGTAGTGCTCCTTGCAGCCCGGGCAGAGACAGCCGTCCTTCTGCGCGTCCAGGTAGCAGTCACGGCAGATCTTGAACCTACACTCGCAGGGGTCGATCTCCTCGCCGCGCTCGTTGCGCATGACCTTGCCGTCGCAGGCCGGCATGGCGCAGCGGGTGGCCTTGGCCCCGGCCATCTGCGGGTGCTTCACGTCGGAGTCGATGACCCTGTCCATGAGGTGGGCGCGGGTCACGCTGTTGAACCCGCCGGTGAAGAGCGAGTTGGACACGTACTGCTCCTCGGCCTTCATCGCCACGGCTGTCGGCTCCGCGCCGTCCTTCATGGGCTGGTTGTCCGGGGTGGGCGGGATGTGCACCGTGTAGTTGGCGTAGTCCGGCCCCATTTCGCCCTCCATGTCTATGTCCTCGCGCGACAGGCTGAGATACCGCCCGCTGGGCGTCCGGCGCGCGAACTTCACCGGCTGCCCGGACGACGACTTGGGTGCGCCCGCCGACCCGCCGCCGGGGTTCCTGGGCGCCTTCGACATGTTCTCCTAGCTCCTCTCTTTTCTTTCACGCTGCTTTCTTTCTTGCACCCGTTGCGCGCATGGCTGGGATCCTTCAAGTGGACGGCGCCACACCTGTGTGCTCGTCCATGGCGATGGTTTGCAAAAAATGTATGGGCGCGGTAAGGGGAGGGATATGGTGGGAAGAGGCGGCCTGTGCGCGCGCGTGCGGTGGTGGTTGCGAGGGAGACCCGGTCTCCTGCCTGGAAGAAGAGATGGCTATATTAGGGCACAAGGCGGAGGTGCCTGGTTTGGTGGGGAGCTTGTGTGGTGAAGGAGAAGAACCATGAACCAACGGTT